AATGTCATTATTTAAGTTTTTCCAAAATCTCCCGATAAGAGGTTTGAATTTAAGTTTTAGCTCCATAATTTATCACAATGAGCTATTTGTTTTTTTGACCGGGTGTTAGCATAAATCCCAAGGCAGCTATTCGACTGTTAGCAACCAGCGCTAGCATCGTCCACATGTAGTTAGTGTTGTGTTTCTTGTGTTTTTGAGAGGGGTAAAGACGTTAGCTCCCATTTGTCGATTATTGGTTCTTGGTGGTGTTTGTTGCTGTGACCCGGAAGGAGTTTAGCTTTTCAGGCTAACTTAGCTCTAGCTAGCCTTACAGAGGTATATTTTAGCACTCCATACAAGAACTTAAAATCATAAAAAAGTTATTTATACAACAGCTTTAAAACCAAGTTTAACAAAGTGCTTTGACAACCAAGAAAATCATACAGCTGACGAAATGTCAAAAACTAGCAAATCAGGAAAATGTGTACGAGCAGCAAAAGAACCGAAACAACACAGAGGCAAGACGAAGGGGATGAAAATATTTTAAATACATAAAAAAGTTCAAACGCAGCGGAGAAGAAACGGAGAAGAGAGGGTAAAAGCAAGAAAAGCAACAGTCAAAGAAAATAAGAAAAGGAATCTCAGCTGATGTTGCATGTAGCCTATTTGCTAACTCCTACAGATACGACTCAACATGCAGGGAGCAGATAATAAATAATATTCAGATTGTCAGGGCTCACTTTGCTTCCTCCTCTGATTCGGAATCAGACGATACAATAACTTTTAGCTGAAAGACGCTCATTGTTATGTACGATGTTTTTTTTACTGTGCTGACCCAGACAGGTGTCAATCAAAACTGATGATTACTGTAAAACCATGCACACACATAAACAGTCCTGAAAAAAAGTCTAGACAGAAAATTCTGATGTTGAGGGCTTGGTTTTTAAATAGTTGTGAAGAATGAATATCTCTGGTTTTGATTAGATCAGGTAAGATATGAAAAGATATCTTTATTGTCACTGTAATGAATTAAATTATGTTTGGGTTAACCTGTAGATGCCTAATAAAAAATAAATATGATGGACTCTTTATGAGTCACTAAGATTTGTTTTTATTGTTGCACAAAATCTCTTGAAGCTATTAAAGACTCCAGCAACATATGGCCTCCTCACATAACATTACAACCTGCTTTAGGTTTGTAGTGTTGTCTTTCTTTTAACATGCAGTGTATACATTTCAAACTCTAACATGTGCACATGCACAAACACACACACCTTGTGTTTCTGTCTTTCTATAGAGGTTTTCATTATGCTTTTTATCCCTTTATGGGACAGGGCAGTGGATAGAGTCGGAAATTCTGAAATCAGGGAGAGAGAGAGAGAGAGAGAGAGAGAGAGAGTCGGGGTGACATGCAGCTTATGAGCCAGAGGAAGGATTCAAACCCGGGCTGCTCGCTTTGAGGAGTGTAGCCTCTGTACATGAGGCTCCGGGACAAACCACTAGTCCACTGGCAACCCTTATCATCTTTTTTTATCCTTATAAAGTGAGTCTGGTTTTATTTCATATCTGTTTTTATTATGTGGGTAAGTTTAGCATTTTATTATCTTCCTATTTTTTCTTCAATTTGCTATAGGGTCAGAGGTGAGAGCTTATTTCTCTACTTTTGTGCACAAAATGTTTTTGTTTTTTTTCCTGAGAAAAACACAATTGCCAAACCAAACACACATTGAGTTTCTCTTGAGCTGGGATCACAGAGTCCCGGTTAACTTATGGGGCTGTAATACCCGTGTGTAAGATGTCGCAGAGGACCCTGTTTAGCCAACAGAGTGAGACACAGGATCTGGGTGTTCCCAGAGGAAGAGGTCCTGTTGTGCTGTGTTAAACGTGTCGGCTCCAGAGACGGCATGACAACACCTGATCTGCACCGTGCAGGATCGAGCCGTGTTAGCTAAACCAGGTACAAGGTCAAGGTCTGGACAACAGCTCTCTGCTGGCTTTGTGTGAGCTGCAGCCCGTTCTCAGGGAAGCTATACATTACGCTCCCACAGCTGGCTCTGCACAGTATCACTTACACTGCGGTTCATATTTGAGGAAATCAGCCAGAGCAGGAAAACTCTGAGTAACTTTAGGAAGGTTTTATTTGAACATAGTTAAAGGCCATGTGTGTGTGTGTGTGTGTGTGTGTGTGTGTGTGTGTGTGTGTGTGTGCGCGCCGGGTTAAAAGGTGACTAAGTACATTTAATTTAGCAATAGTTAAGTACGTTTTCGGGCGCTTCTTGCACAATACTTTGGTATTTCCATTTAATGCTACATGTCTCCTTCACTTCAAATTGGAGGTAATGACTCATACTTTATACTCCTCAACATTTATTTGGAAACTTTATTTACTAGTTACTTGGCATGACAGCCTACAAAACACCATCTGATGAAGAAATCTGATATATAGTTATTTGTATTTGATTTATTTATTATGACAGGTCTACAGTCAGTTAGCTGTACCAGAGTTAGCTATGGGCTAATTTACATCTGTCCCTGGGCAGGAGACAAAATCTCTGTTAAGAAATCAACTATATGCTTAAAACATATTGTTGATTAAGATATGAAGCAGAATATTAAGTTCCTGTAATGAGCTGCAGCCAGAGCTCGTAATTCTAGTTATGGTACTTTTAGTAAATATTGATGCTGGTATACTTTTCTACTTTTTCAGATATATTCAGATATAAGCTAGCAGCACAGTTTGTTATCGGCTGTATCCATTAAAACCCGAACCTCACATCACATTGTAGTTTTATAAAAAAATCCAAACAGTAAATAAGATGTTTTTTGTGTGTCAGAGTGAATTCATGACAGCATTTAAATTGTACATTATACATAAAAACCATAACTGTGTTCATGTCAGAAACACGTCATATTTCAGTGTTACTACAGACAGAAGAAGAGAGTGATTGGCTGCAACATTTCCCTTCATGCCTTTGAGAAACATTCACCGTGGGGTTACTTTGTTTGCACTCAACAGAGATTCACCACAGCCGAGCTTGTGCTGAAGTTTGGTTCACGTTTAGTTTTTTTGTCTGAAAGTAAAACATTGTTTGTGAAAGTTTTGAGATGAAAAGCACGAGACCTGATCTGTTCAGCGATTGTAATAGGATGATTCAATTATCTCATCTTTTCCCCCGTATGGAAGAACGTTTTTAATTCAACGGGCAGAAAAGAGTTCAGAACAACAACGAGGCTTCTTCATTCATAGTATAATATGTTTATAATAACATGTAGGAATCCACATGTGTGATGTGCACTCTGTTGTTAGAACGTGTGTATGTGCAAACTTTATTAATGAAGCCCGTCGTAATATGATGTCGATCATTTTCTTAGTATATTCAGGATGTTTGTTTTTGGATCTGCAGGAGTAAACAACAGATCCACTTTAGAGACATGAATGTTTATCTCATCTTATTTTCTATATCTCAAACTTTGAACGATGTAGACAAAACCTGTCAGTTGAAAAGCAGACATCAGGCTGATCACACATCACATCACTGTCCAACATTTAACTGAACGTCAAAAGGTCAGAAATAACTGGAGGTTAAATGTTATTGTGAATGTGAATATACAGAATACAATGTGTTGTTTCTAAAGACTAAGTCATTATATGTTATGTCATGATTTGGTCTGTTTAAGTTTAAATTTCAGCGTTTAGATTTCTTTATGTTGTTTTAGTTTTCATTCTTCGCTGGTGTTTGTTTCCCTCGTGTGCTTCCTAGTTTAGTCTTTAGTGTTTCTTGTGTCATTTCATATCCCTGTGTCCCTATATGTTGTTACATTCTTAAGTTCTCTGTGGCATTAGTGTTCCCTGATTTATGTTGTAGTTCTTGTCGTGTCTCTAGTCGTATTTCTTCTAAACAGACCAAATCATGACAATCTGTTCTTCTTCTTATATCTGAAGAATAAAATCTTAAACAACATTTTAAAACTTAACTATAAGACAAAGAGAGCAGCAGGATGAAGGTCGACTCTTTCTTTGTTCACACACTCAGGGGGAAATTAAGAAAGAGTTTCATTTGCTGTTTTGTTGACCTGATTATGACATTCATTATTGTATTTCTTTAAGTAAAATGATCCGTATTGATTCAGAATCTTTAAACATTAACAACACTTGAGCTGTGCTTTAGTTACGGAGCCTTTTTGTGCAGAAGGTTTGATCTGCCGAGCTCAAGAGCAAAGACTGGATCATTTTTAAAGAGTTTATCGGCTTTATCCATAAAAGCACGTTGTTTTGAAATAAAATGAGATTTAATCAAATGTTTGACCGCTGAAACAATATTTGTTTAGTCTCTAAACTCTGGAGGGTTTATGTGGGAGACACAAAAAGAACAAACAAACAGATCATAACTTTAAATAAATACAAATAACACAAAATGTAAAAAAAAAAATATGTACTGTGTGTAGAGCTAAATCTAAGATATTGTTCTTTTATAACACATTATAATATGACTTTAGGTTTTAGTTTTAGCAGGTTAAAAAGACATATATAATGGTTACTAAAGAAAGAAGTGAATAACTTCCTTTTTTCTTCAGTCAAAGAAATGTTCATATTTATTTAGGACGCATTCAAGGTCGTTTACTTTTTTCTTACCATCTAAACTTGAATGTTATATTTCACAGCCTGTGTAGAATAATATGTGACATGGACATTTTGGCTGCTGTAATATTTGGGTCACTTAAAGTTGCGCCCTTGGAGAACTTCAGGAATCTCTAATGATATGTTTTGAGAGCGAGCAGAGCAGCTATGAAAACAACATTAAAATAAACGTCGTTTTTTATCGACTATTAATCATCTCGAGTCGCTGTTACTCCTGTGTGGTATTATTCTGGGAGTATTCTTCTTGTGTTTTCCAGCTCAGTATCAGTCTCACTCCCTCACACGTCGGTGTTTCCCGGTGCCGCGTGCTTTTTTTATGCTAATGATGCTGTGACATCATCAGTGAGATCAAAGCGGGGCCGCGGTACTTTAGAGGCGAGTCTGCCCCCACTCAGCTCACTCACTGCACCCTCTCTGTCCTTCACGCACACACACACACACACACATATAACACACTCCTACAACACCAGGCACCGCAGTGACACACACCATGCGTACCTGTGCGGACTTATTCTACCTCCTCATGCTGGATTTTACGGACGCTTCTGGCTGATACCGACGCAGACTGAACCCTTGAAAAGGATAATCTGCCTATACCTACCTGCGGAGATTACATTTTTTACTTTCTTGTGCTACTTGTTAGACCGGGGAAGGCTGAACGCTTCGGCAAAGGTGAGGAGAAACTTTTTTTTTCAGGCTGCTGTGAGTGAGTCTCTGCGTCTTTTACGCACGGATAGGTTTAAAGTGAGGGATTAGTGAGCCGAGACAAAGTTGGTGCTTTTGTTAGTCGCCTGAGATATTTAGTGAGTCTGTGTTAGACGAGTTGTTAAAAAAACATTTGCAAAATATATCTTTGTTAAACCACTTTCTGTCCAATTATTTATATAGTTTTTGTTTTCTCGTTTTTTCTCCAAACTTTGCTCTCCCTCTTTTTGGCTTCAGGAGAACTAAAACAAATCTCCACTGCTGTCTTTGGTAGCAACTCTTTTTAATGAGTCAGTTGTAAAAATATCCTGGTAAGTTCCTCTCCAATAATTAGATCCCCTGTGATAGTTCGTAAAAGTGATTAATAGTCCGCTCGGTGCGCCCTGCCCCGCTTATCTTGGCTCGATGAAAGACACACATCGGATGGTGTGTGAGTGTGAGGCTATCAGGCTTTATCTGCAAGGAGGGGGAAACAGGAGCTCATTTAGCCCACTTTAGAGAAATGTAAATTTAAACAGCTAATCCACTTGTGGCTGTGACTTTTTTTTACGGCTCCAAACGGCAAACACGGACTGAGCGCGCAGAAAACACAACTACATAAATTGTAGTATTTTCTTAATTACCCTTTTTACAGAGTAGTTCATCGAGTGTAAGGAAGCAACAGCTTGCCGATGGGTTTCAATCACCTCATTTAAATAATTAATGTCGGTGATTTCTCACAGTTTTCTGCGCCAATCAGCGGCGCGGATCGGAACTTGTGCGTTAAAAAAAAGAAGGGCCCATTATGCGCTACCTGGCGCTTTAACGCGCTCACTTTAAGCTCTCTTCAAAGAGATGTCTTATCAACAGCTCAAAGCGCAATCAGATCAACGCTGCAGCAGATTACTGCGCTGATCTGCTGATACTGAAACCTGTGTTTTAAATTCTTTACATTTTCACAAGAGGAGCAGAAAAGTGCTTCTTAACCAGGAGGGGGGGGGGGGGGGGGGTCCCTTCTGAATTATTCAGGGTCAACGTTGAGATAAAAACTCATGTAATCGTTTAGATCCCCAGTTTTCCATCCATCCGGTTATACAGGCTTAATTATGTCTTTATTATAGGTGAATGTAAAACAAATTTAAGTTCAATAAAACACTTTAAAGTGTGAAAGGAAAGTTTCTGTTGTACCACAGACTGCAGCACTGAGGGGTTCTTTGTGTTTCAGATTCATTTGTGGGTAATTTTTCTTGGTTTTTTTTTTCTGTCTTTTTGCATGCACTAGAAAGTTTAAGTGTATTTCTTCTATAAATATTCCGTACAGTGTTGTAGACTATCTAGTATTTCTTAAAATATACAACACATCATCTTATTTCTTTTTCCTTTTCCACGTATTGTTGAGTTATTTTTTGAGGACATCTGTATGTAATCTTTAAGAATGAAATATAATAAATTCAAGATTTTATTTCATTGGTTCTGAGTGATTATTCCTGACAGAGAATTAAAAAGAGAATTCGATTTTTATTGCATCATTTCATTTCCAGATTTAAACCTTGTGAGGTCACAGCGTTCACACAAAGACTCTCCCGCTGCTTTCTAACTCAGCGAGAAAACAAATGACTTCCAATCTGTAAAATGTTACCACTGTTTCACGGCTAAAGTCTTTTGCTAATATTGATGTTATTTTAACTGCAGGCTTTTGAGAAAGGACGAGGCCGTGCCATGAGAGTCCACTTTTAAGTGCGAGCCAAGAGGTCCAGCAGCTCTTTGTGTTTGTTTGTCCCGCGTGAAGCCGAGTCTCTGTCCAACATGAGGAGCAGCTCTCATGTCCTGCCTCTGGGTGTGCTCACAGCTCTGCTGCTGTCTCAGGTCTGCTCTGGCATCAAATGGCTGTAAGTAACCAACTCTTCTCTTTTTTTTCTTTTTGAGCATATAACAATCAATCTGTGTCAAAATACATGATGTCAAAAAGATAGAGCAGATTGTGCAGCTCTTTCTGCATGTTTTTTTGGATTGGAGGGCCCCTACATTCCTCTTGTTGCTCCTGATGAAGGCAGCGGCCGTGTGAGTGTGTATCCTGCTGCACAACAAGAGGAAGATAAGAGTAGAAAATAAGATCGAGATGATCATGTGTTAGGTCACTGTGTGCAGCCTCGTTAGGCTTTGGTCAGCGTTCAAACAGAGTCAACGCTAAGACAAATGTTGCATGCATGAACTGGGCACCACACTGTTTTAGGGGCAGAGAAAAGGTAAACAACACTGTGCATAGACATTCTATAATTACAGTTACTATTTCTTTTATGTATTTATGTTTGGGGCTGGATGTTTTGCACAGTTTTGTTTCGGTATCCTTAGAAACCCTCTGCGGTTTGCTCTCAGAGTTTGCGTGTTCTGTTGTGTGAGTCTTCATTTGAGTTTGATCTCCGTGCATAATGTCACAGCGCTGTGAAAACATCCCTCTCTGCGCCCACTTCTCCAACAACTCTCCACAGATTCTTATCAGGGAAAAATTGTTTTTAATCGTCAGCCTAAAGAGCAGATGTCAGAGGTGGTTAAAGGACACACGTTATGTACCCAAGTATGGTGTGGCCAAAGCTGAAGGAGTGATTCCACTTGGCTCTGAAATGTACCCGCAGTGTAAAAAATAAAGGCTTTTTCTGCAGCTGTTTCTGTGCAAAGCTGACTGAACTGACTTCAGACGGTTAAACTTTAAATCTTTATAAGGTAAAATAAAAGTTTCACTGAAAAGTATTAACATCTAGTGGACTCTTAACGTGTAAATCAGACGGATGGGGAACGCCTTTCCGCTCTGAATGTGCTCCCAAGTCGTCGGCCATGTTGGCTGCTTCAGTGTCATCCATGTTCCTTCCAGTTCTCCTTTTACTGTCACAATCGGTAGACGCCTCTTCCTCCTCCTCCTTCTTCTGATTCTTCTTCTTTTTCTTTTTAATGTCTTCTAGTTTCCCTTTCCAGTCTCTTTTGTCTTTTTATCTTTTTAACAACTTTGTAAAGCAACGTCTGAAATGTATGAAGCTGATGGAGAATTAGGGAATTATCTTTTGCATTTCTTATTGTCCCGTTCATTTAGGTTGAAATTGCTCTTGTCATTTGGAAGGTGAAAAAAAAAATAATGCCTCTTCAATTCATTCAAACTCAAGAGGCTATTCTCTAAAAGGAGTAAAAAGTTCAGGTGTTAAACTAAAGAGTCAAATGTTTTCAGAACATAAACTGAAGTATAGATTCATTTCATCTCTACTAAAGTACATTATTGAAGTATTTGTACTTCCTTAATGTGGCAGATGTGCTCATCAGAGCAGGTCTGACATGTGCTACATCTAAGCGAGACTTCCTGCAGTCTTGATAGTACACCGCGTTGCAATACAAAACAGATGCGGCTGTAAACACCTGTGAGTGCCGGGTTACGGCGAGCCCAGAGGAGTCACAGCTTATCATCTGGGCACAGAGTGGCGGCCCCTTGGCCCCCTTAATGCAAAACAGGCCGCGATGCAAGCGGCGCTGCGGGTTCTCACGAAGCCTCGGCAGAGAGAGAGCAGGTCCATCAGAGCCGACCTGCTCCGCCCTGTGGTTTCTCCATTAAGTTTCTCCTCAATAAGTTCAAATCAAACGTGTGCACGCTTTAATAACTAATGATTCTTGTCAAACCGAGGCCACAGGGGACGACTCTTCCTGTGGGGAAAAAATTCAAATGGGAAAGGATCTGTGTAGTTTTTTTCATGTGATTGTGGATCAGAGTTTCGTGGGCCTTTTTAAAAATATTTTTGGAGGCTGGAGGCTTCTGCTGCGCTAAAACAAAAGACAAGCACCACGCCAAGAGCGTGTCACTTATACTTTATGAATCCGCAGCTGGCTTCCCTTTGGGATTCTCGTGTGATAAGATGGTTCTTGTCCGCAGTGCATGCCAAAATAATCCCCTGCTGTTTGGATTCTTCAATTGTTTGTTCACAAGAAAAACACACCACTGGAACAGAAACTCACGACATGCTTTTTTTTTAAAAATTCCACACAAACCTGATAATTCCACAAAAGAAGGGATTGAGCAACGGGCACATTGTAGTCATCACCTCAGTGATTGAGAGATTGTGTATACTGACCGATCTTTGTTGTTTGTGTTCCCACAGAGCGCTATCACACGCTCCCACGTCTCTGCACATCAACCAGACGCAGCACTGTAAGCTGCTGCCGGGCATGGTGTCCTCTCAGGCTCAGCTGTGTCGCAGCAACCTGGAGCTCATGCAGACTATCGTCCAGGCGGCCCGCGAGGTCAAGAAGACGTGCCAGAAGACCTTCTCTGACATGCGCTGGAACTGCTCCTCCATCGACATCCCCATCGACGCACAGAAGTATCCACCCGACCTTGAACGAGGTACATTTTCAGAGATGGTTTGAAATGACGTCATGGATGCTGTTAGGGTTTTTTTTTCTTTTCCCAAAGCGCTCTGCCAAGTTACTTACCAGTTTACAGTAACTGTTGCACTGTTCCTCGACCTTTCATGATGTGTATGCTGTGTCTGGAGGCTATTTAGAGAATTATGATCAAAATGAGTCCTGTAGCCTTTTCACACATGCACAAAACTCTTGAAACGTCCTCACATTTTTGGTATGAGCTCTATGTGTGAATGCAAGAGATGGCATTTTTCACTCTGACATTATCCAGATTGAACCCTGCCTGTGTGAATGGCAGCAGGTAATATCTAGGAAAATTCACTGTGAGTGCATGAAAAGGGGGCGGGGACGTTTATACCCTGCAACCGCTTCACAACCGGTTTGATCTTCAATCTTCGTGCATATAATGAATCTACTTTATACTCTTTTCTGCTCATCAGAATGTTCTTTTCCACTCTTTCATTGATTCTGTGCACACGTTCAATGACACGATAAGAAGGAAAAATGACTGTAGCATCTTCCATCCTCTTCTATATGTTGTAAAAATACATAGTGATATATTGTGATTTCTGTAGCATCTTTTTTTACACGTTGTGTCCTAACTCCTGAAGACATTTTCTATATATTTTCAGGAGTGCGTGTGAAAGGGGTTCTGGGTTGAGATTAATTTCTGCTCAATCTTTCCATCTTTGTGCTGCCAGCCGAACCAGCCTTTGATTTAATTGTTAAGTGCCTTCGCTCAGGGCTTACATTGATTAAATACTCTGCTTTTGATTCCTGAAATCCACAGCATTATCTTAACTGCATGCCTGTTAAGTTTGTTGTCTGACTTAGCTGCTTCCTTTGCCAGAATGACCTTGAGTCAGAGACAAGTTTCAGGTTATTTGGTGGAGGAGCCGTGCAGATATGGCTTCCATGTCTGCACAGAACAGGAAATGGCTCATCTCTGTCCGGGCCCCGGCTTTGATCTTTAACAGCAAACGGTCATACATGATTTCTTCCCTTCCTTCCAATTGCTCCCCGGCCTTAAACATGTGTGCTTTCCGTGTACGCACATCACCTCCAATTACATCAGGGCTCAGTCTGCGTTACAGCTCGGGCAGTGATGGGCTGTGGTTGATGGATTCATGTTGGGCTCTCAGTGCTTTTTCTTTTTTTTTTCCCTGAGATGGATAAAAGATGAGAGGAAAAGAGAGAAACAGGAGGGACGTTTGTTATGTAGAAGGACTAGAACTTTGTATAGATGTTTTTGGATTGTCTTATTTGCTGAAATAACTTTTAATTATTGGTATGCTTTGTAAAAACAAAATCAATTCAAACTGGCCGCTGCACACGTCATGCTAACACTTCAGACTAAGGCTTGTCTTGTCCTGTCTTGACGTGTCTTGTATTGTATTGTCGAGTTGTATTGTATCGTACCCTCTCTCTTATGACAATATCCAAGTTACTGAAGATTTTGCAAAATCTGTATTGCAAGTTCCCTATTTACAAGCCTATGATTGGATATCCATTACAATTGTATCCCATCATGCTCCTGGTAAAATTAGCATAAATACAAAAAGGAACAGAAGAAGCTCTTGGCCACAGCGGCTCTCTTTGTGTGCTGTAGTTTGTGTTATCTGTGATGATGGACGCTGGGACTTTGCCTGGGTTAGCAGTACAGGATTTTCTTGCCCTCTTGTCAATCTTTTACCTGTTCAGTGTTGGTAACAGACACTCTGCTAACACCCTGTCCTAACAGGAAACAAGCATTCAACCTATCATCAAATTCAGCCAGGTGCTGCTCTGTCAGTTTGCAGGGTCAGGCCTTTAAAATAAACACGGCGTCGTCCTCTTTTCCTCGTTTAATCTGGGTTTCTTATCTGATTCAACAGGAACAAGAGAGGCTGCATTTGTCTACGCCCTGTCAGCGGCAACCATCAGCCACACCATAGCCCGAGCCTGCACTTCAGGAGATTTGCGGCTGTGCTCGTGTGGTCCCATGCCCGCAGAGATCCCCGAGCCCGGCTATCGCTGGGGAGGCTGCGCTGATAACCTGCACTACGGTCTGATCATGGGTTCTAAGTTCTCTGACGCTCCCATGAAGATGAAGCGAGCAGGCTCCCACGCTAACAAACTCATGCACCTGCACAACAGTGAAGTCGGGAGACAAGTAAGTCATATCCTCCACATTGGGATGTTATTTGAGTTTTGTATTTCAGTATTTCAGGACTGGACTGCATCATATCTGTGTAAATGTAAGATTCAACAAAAGCTGCATTTCCACCACACACACTTTCTCTTGTGTTCAGGAACTTGAAGAAGTAGTCTGCACATTTACACACGTTTGTGGAAATAAATAAACAACGTCCCTTGGGAATTCATTTTGTCCCTTTTAGGGACCCTGATAGGGAGGTAGTCATTTCTGAAAGCAATGGGACTTTTGGGTTTTGGGCTTAAAGTGCAGTTCATTTCTGATTGCTAAAGTTTTCCCAATGTTCAGAAGACTCCCGACTGACTAATTTGGCTCAATTTAGAAGATATTTTTGATCGTGGTTGGAACTCAAGAGTAACTTCTAGGACTAAAAGTTTGATTTTTATTATTTGTGGAAATGTTGCTAAAATGTGAGAGCTATCTAACCTCCCTGTCTGTGGCTTTCCAGGCGTTGAGAGACGCGATGGTGATGAAGTGTAAATGTCACGGCGTGTCTGGCTCCTGCTCTATAAGGACCTGCTGGAGGGGCCTGCAAGACCTGAGGGAGATCGCCATGGACCTAAAGACCAAGTACCTGTCTGCTACTAAAGTGGTTCACAGGCCCATGGGGACACGCAAGCAGCTGGTACCCAAAGACATCGACATCAGGCCGGTGAGGGAGAACGAGCTGGTCTACCTGCAGAGCTCCTCGGACTTCTGCATCAGGAATGACAAACAAGGCTCTGTCGGGACACAGGACAGGTGAGACTCCCATATTACATCACTGTGTTTGGGGATTATTTTGTGGTAATGACAGTGCTTTTTACCATGAGTTAAAGGCATGATTCAGTCCCACGCAGTAGACGAATAGGAAATGACCAATCCTGATCATTCCCCGATGTTGACTTTAGTGAAGTGCCTTCCTGCCTCCCGTTTCTTGAACAAGCTGTGTGCAGCGGCCCCTGAGAGTGCTCTGTCTGTGACTTGTCTGAGCATGTGTCGCTGAAAAGGCCACTGAGCCTGGAGTCGGTGTCCCACTATCTAAAATAATGACTAATGCGGTTATTCTTAGGACTGAGTGCACTGGAGCTGATATCGATTGGAGAGGGCCACACAAATGGGGAAATAGTTAAAGCCCCCCCCCCCCCCCCCCCCCCCTAAAGATAACGGTTTATTTACACCATTCAGCTCCAGTGTTTTCTTTGGGACTGTGTAAAGTGTTGCTGGTTCGTGCTCTGTGACAAGTTAGTGAGGAACAAGAATCATGTTTGTCTGAGAGTCTTCCTCAGGCTGAGACCGGGCTAACCAATTACCAGCACAAATGACAAAACGCTCAAACTTACATAAAAAGAGAACCATCTATGAGTCAAATCTGGGAGTCAGTAGTTCACGCAGTCGAGCTGAAAACATCGACATCCTGTAGAAGCTGCTTCCGAGTCTTTCATTTCAGATTTAAAAACATTTCAGGACACAAGCTCCTTGAGTTTTAAGTTGTTCTGCAACAGATTCAAGGCTGAGGGTTCAGAATACCCAAAAGTGTGTTTTTATGGCAGAAAGAATACTGACCGGTTCTTTTCTGCATGAGAAAAACACACAGGAAGTGTGGGAGCAGATCAAGAATTGACATAAAGGTGTACTGGTGTCTGTCAAATCCCACTCAGCAGCCAATATAACATTAACATAAAAAAGATAAACCAATACATGCTAGTCTTTTACTAAACTTCACCATTAAAAAAAATTGTTTTCAAATTTATGAAGTCTAATAATTATTTCCTTGTGTATTTTCCTAAACTACAACATATTTATACATTCTTCAAATCGTGCAAAGAATCCCAGAGTTGAACTCCAACCACTGAAATACACATCTGCTTTATAGCTGTGAATATTGATGCCTTATATTAAATGTCCTCCTTTGTTCTTCATCCTCAGAGCTGCACACAAACAACTTAAACAACTTTTCTGTCATTTTCTGGTCATATTTAAATGTTCAGAACACATAAATATCCTTTCAGCATTGCCTGGATACATGAACCCATGTGTTCGCACCACTGGGCCAAGCCAATGAAGTTCCAGCTAGCCGCTAAAGATACCCTCATATTGATTGATATCAATCCTGTGGCGGCAGAGAGGTTAGCTTACATGATGGCCAACCAAGAATGTAGAAAGAGTGAGAAAAACAGTATCTCAGTTATTTGTTATCATTAAGTATTCAGGAGTGATGAATGGTTATAAATACATGTGCTGTGTTAAGTAATCAATAAATCAAATTCTCTGACAAGAAAGAAACGAGGTGTCTGTGGCTGTCACAGGCCTGAGTAAGTTCTCCACAAGCTAAAGCTGGTGAAGTAGTTACAAAAAAGATGATAGAAAAAGATAGTTTGATAAAGTTAGCCAGTGAGAAAGCAACGATGCTCTGCCACTCTCCAAAACACTGTCTCCTCTGAACTAACCCTTCAACACAATGAGGAAGTGGACGCTCATTTGTTGGACAGAGTTGCTTGTTTTTTGTTGGATTTAAAATCTACTCTTGTGATTTCAAAAGAGTGACCTACCCCTGCTTTAATACAAAATCTTAAGCATTTCCTCATTGATCATACATTTACTAAGTCATCTTTATTTAAATGCAGGCAATGATTTGCGCAACCAAAAGTACTGAAGCATGTCTCAATGTCAACAGCCAGTGCTCACGGCCGTGTAAGGCACTGAGGATAAAACCAGCTCCATTAAATGTTGTTTCAAATGTCATACATCATATGATGGTCATATCTTGTGTTCCTCAGCCTAAGGCCACTCTTCAGATAACCACAAGACATGCTTCATGTCAAGGACACTCACAGTGTCCGATGTGTTCCATTACTACAGCCTGATAACGCAGCAGCCACACACAGTCTGCAACCCGAGTGAGGCACCATCATTACACCGATGTGTGACGATGTTTGTATATGAGTAACTGTGAGTGTACATGCGTGGGTATTTATTATTCCCATATGTGTCTGGACAGATCGTATCTGAGGAATTCCTAGACTTCCTCCAAATATCGTTACACAGAATCAATTGCTCACATTATCTCACTGCTGATTTCTCTGACACCAGTGGCCACTCAAGGAGAGGATTTATCAGATTTACACTTGGATTGACCTTGTAACTGACTTTATTGTTAGCGCTGACATATTTTTTTGTAATAAAATAAACTTGAAGTATGTTTCCCACAGGGGGAGTAGCTCAAGTGCTTTAAAAAATAAACTCAAATGAGGAGTTGCATAGTTTTGGTTCATGTTTAGTAAAGACTTGGATCCCAATAGTCTTCCCTGTGTGATATTTTGTAATTGCAGAGGATCTCAGTGCACATGACGGATGATAAAGGTCATGTAGGCTAGTCCCATAAGTCCTTAGAGACACTGGGAGCCAGCAGAGGCTGGCTAAAACAGATGTGGTTGAAGTCTGGGGCATCTGTGATGTAGGTGGGGTCGGTGTGGGGGCTTTGGTAAGAAAGGCTCAGCCGGGTGGTGTTTTGCTGGCCGGGGACGTTGGAGGGGAATAACTGGTTGTCTGGTCACTGCATAGTGTTTGTTTGGGCAGTAGAGTTCTGAATAATTTGTAGAATGGAGGGAAAGAGCTTAAAAGTATGAATCAATCAGTCATACTTTATTTATATAGCACCTTTCAGACGAATGCAATAGTAGTGTTTCACATTTATAGTGCTTTATAAGGGAATGGGGAAACAAACTGACACGCTTTAGAGATTAATGCACACCAATATGAGTTCAATAGAATAAAAATGAAATATGAGATAGATGCTTAAAATAAGAGACAAGACATAAAATATATCGCCTAAAACTAAAGGCAGCATCACCAAACATTTTTGTTCCGATTCGTGTAACAGCTAAAAGACAAGAACCAGTGGATCTTTGGGGCCATCCTGGTTCATTGACTAAAACCATCTCTGAAAGGATGTCTGTTGCAAATAAAGCTACTGCGGTCCCTTTCTTTTTGTGAAATTTAAATTTTAAATCTGTGCCATGAAAAATACAAACTTTTGTCCCATCTGATGAACTTAAGGGGCCAAATTGTTAAGTTCCCCTGTTTTTAAATTGTAGACCAACTAAAGATATTTCTGTTTTCTCACTGTTTTATTTCACAAAGTGGTCGGTCCCATCAGTTTAAAGCAGCCAAAGATGTTTTCAGATAGAGCATCATGACACCATTTGGGTCCAAATTAACATACAGCAGAGCATCATCTGCATAGCGGTGAATATTATGCTTCTGTTCTCTGATAACATCACCCAAAGGAAACATGTACAGTGAAAGAGCAGAGGACCAAGGCAGTTTCCTTGAGATTATAAGACCTAAAAGTAAGTCAATACTATTTCTAGAGTCAAGCTATTTGATTAACAAGACAATCTGGGGCAGGGGGAATTGAATTTTAGCAGTAGCCCCCTAATGGAAGAAGTGTGATCGCTGGTGCTAAAAAGTGTCATGGCCCCGAGATGAGGCACGTCATTGAAGCCTGTGCTTTAGTCTTTAATTACATTACTGTTGCTCTACTTGAACCAGCAGATGAACTCAATGTACAGAGCTTTCCTTCTGCTCCACTTACAACACAGCAGTGATATAACCCAATCTTGCTACTGACAAAAGTGTGTGGGGGTTTCTGTCTAATTCCCAGCTCCCACCGATGTAATAAACCTGTCTTACACTCTCAATGACTCTTGTCCCTCCTCCTCTTCCTTCACTCCCGCAGTAGCCAGCAGCTAAGCATCTCCCTCCCTCCCCATACTGGTCATTAACACTCTGCCATCATAAAACAATGCAATTATGTGGAGAGGGCAAGCTAAAGAGAGGGAGGGCAGCCCTGTGTATTCAGTGTGATTTACGGGGGGCTATTCTCCGGTCGTTTAAGATGCCTCGGGCTTCTGAAGTGAGAGGCTCTCAAGCATCCACTGCCCAGAGACGACAGAACAAAACGAAAATGACAGAAAAAATGTTTGGAGGAAGGAGTGCACAAAAGGTTAAGGCTCGCCAGGCGGTCAAGCACTTTTAAAGGACTATTGTGGGCTCTTAAGTCTGCAAGATCATCACAATATTTTAGACAGGAGCAGTAAACTTTAAAAAAGAAGCTTAACTGGAAACATATTCCTGGCTGGTAGTTAAGACTCCTTTTCTTACATCTTGTTGAAGCTTTACAAGCACACTAGTATCCTGTTTATCATCAGCTTGTTTCCTGACTCTGTGTTGTCCGTCTACAATGAGTGCAGTAACATGTGTAAACATTAAAAGGTCATTCATTTCCTAGTTATGATCAGTTCTTTAAGTAGTCCAGATGCAAACTATGCATTTAAACATTTCATCCAGGTTTCAGAAGTCGAGGTAAACCCTAATCCTGGATTTGAGAAACTGGGATATACAGCCTTAAGTCCTCTGATAGAAACCAGCGTACTCTGGCATGTAAACATGCAGATCCAAATTAAAACATGTAAACATGTAAACACCTGATCCAAATTTTGTAGGTATAAGACACAAACTTAGTGTTGAGAAATCATGACACAGCTGCAGACGAACAATGACAATCATGGCTATTGCAATCATCATATGAACAGGGAAATAAACAACCAACCAGGTGACTTCCAAACATGATGTCCTTTAAAGGATCAAAACTAGAATAATAAGAAGCATGTACTAACTCTTATTGTATCCTAGTGACATAAATCCAGTTAAGCTCTCATCCTGGTTCTCAAAACCTGGATCTGCCACTGGGAGTACTTCATTGGAGTGTTTACATGAAAACTAGTCAAAGACAGGTTTCCGACCATGAGCCGTCCTGTCTGTTTTTTATCATCTCAGTCACAATGTTTCTAATATTACATCAGATCAGAATCTGTAGGATCTGGATCAGAATCTGTAGGCACTGGACCAGATTTTTGATATCAAGTGTGTTCTGGTTTCCATTTGTAATCTTATACCACAACAGTTCAGAGAAAAGCAAACGAGGCAAAATGTAGTCCCCCAGTAATGTTATCATAGAAGCCATTGGTAGTCATTTAACTACAGTTGATTTTTAATGATCTCAATAAACAGAGATCTGCAGCTAATAATCCCCTCTTCAGTGCTTTTTCTAAACACCAACTCCACTCTTGCTTGTTAGTTGTTAGTTGGACTGTAAAAAAAGGTACATATGGAAAATGAAGTCCAGAAAGCCTGGACGCAAATGTCGGCTGTCACTCCGAGAGGCTACGAGGGGTGACAGACAGTTGCCCACGAGGTCTGAGACTGCTAGACTGGACTAACAAAGAACTTTAAGAAACCTGAAAAGTGTTGACATGCAACTGTATGATTTGTTACCCCAAATCATGATAAAAGGGTCCAGACTTCTACAAGTAGAAATGATAGTGAGAGGATACAGAAAAAGGATGCTAACAAGGATACCAGTGTCCATGCAGACGCACAAACAGAATGAAAGAAACAAAACCAGGATTAAATTCAAACCAGGAGACCATTAAGTGTTGAAACGCTGTGATTTAAGTTATTATTATGTAAATATTAATATTTATTTTCTCGTTTATTTCAGGCAGTGCAACAAAACCTCTATGGGCAGTGACAGCTGTGACCTGATGTGCTGCGGGCGTGGCTACAACCCGTACACAGAGAAGCTGGTGGAGCGCTGCCACTGCAAGTACCACTGGTGCTGCTACGTCACCTGCAAGAAGTGTGAGCGGATTGTGGAGAGATACGTCTGCAAATGAGTCCATGCTGCAGTCCTCTGCTGGAAAAAAAACCAAGCCGCCCAGGACTACAGATTAACCAAAGCACTACAGTACCACAAAGGCTTACTTTTGTCTTAAGCTTTAGCATGTGTCTCTCATGGGAAGCGGTCTGTTCTTGTGTCAGTATATTTTTGTATCAAATCTCCAAACTGGGCTTCTTCTCTTCACAAAGCTGGACGCGGAGTTCTGCTTTACGTGATGACCACCGTCCTCCTGGGTATTTCTTTTTTCTTGTTCATGTGTATGAATCCCGCTGAGAGGGATATGGAAAGTCTATTTTATTATATCTCTAATAAAAAGAAATAATATTGGATTTTATGCTGGAGGAGAGGGGGTCTTTCTCCCCCTCACTTGACTTGTGTTTGGCTTCATTCCACGGATATCAAAGGGTTCTGATGGATCCATGTGGTACTTTTTTTGGGGTACTATTAAGACTTTTTTTTCCTCGCAGTGATGGAAGATAGAGGAAAAGGAAACAAAAAGGGAACTTTAAGTACTTTTTCAATCATGGATCTTATTTTGTGGTTGATGTTTCTGGACTCTCGCCATGTGTCCTGTGTGGATCTTGACATGCCTGCATCCCTGTGGATTGAGAGACGAAGAAGAGGAAGAGAATTAAAGACTTTTGTAAAACGGTGCATTAACTCTTTTATGTCTGCAGTTCAAATATATTCTATTTTTCAGAGCCTATGAGCTGAACTCATGGATTTTGTAAACCACTTTTGTGTGGATGTACATACTGTTATTTTGTATACTGAAATAAAGACAGAAGTATTTATAAAATAAATGATCTTTACCATCATTTTACATGGACATTGCATGTTTTTTTTTCTCTTTTAGGACAATGTGTGTGTATTTGGAAAGTTTGAGAGTGAAAGTAAAAACAGTGAAATCACACAAATAGAGCTGAGTATGAAACTCAAATTACTGCTATCACATATCGTTTTTAAGGCAAGAAATATCACTTTTAAAATTGATTTAAAAAAAAGAAAAAGAAAACGATTGATTGTCAGTAATGCTATTAACATTTTTCATCCACCAGTTCCATCATAACATTGGTATGCTAACTAAGACAGAGGGCATCTTTAAATATATCTCCTCATTCATTTTATTGATTGTCTTTATTATCCACTCCTGCGTCTTCGCCGTTGGACAAAAACTTCTCTCGTTTGCAAACAGTGGATGTTGCTCAGGTGCTACTCTAACAGGGTTGGGACAAAAGAAACTGGATTTCGATCTCTCAGCCAAGTTCAGCCCCCGACATGTGAAAACAAAACTGTCAGATTCACAAGCGAAACTTTTTGCAAACAAACTTATGGACTCAAAAAAAGAGGAGCTAATTATTTTTAAACTCGTCAACATTCATAGCAATTCTCTGCACATCCAAGTGTTAAACAAAAAGCAGTTTACCATAATTTATAGCACATCGTGATCGTAAATCTACGACGGAGGATTAGGGCCATGTTAAAAAAAATATATTTTTTAAATTTACGAGATTAAAGTCATTAATTTACAAGAATAATCTCGTAAATTAATGAGTTCGAGACCAGCATGCGCAAAATGATGAAAGTAGAACTCTATTATTTCTATCTATCTAGTATTTTCCTCTGCAGACAACTTCCTCTAAGTCAGTGTGGTTCTTTCTTCGGAAAAGCCACAGTTTCTTGCAGTATCTTTTCAGGGTGCTGATATTTTAAAGACAATGTGAAGATTATGATGTGTCAAAATGTGTAGTTTCATATCTGCACAAGTAAAGCCCCAACACAACTATTTGTGTCTGTTATCGGCCTGCCTTGTTAAAGTGTCTCATGTGCAGAGACAGTTTGTGTCCTGTTCATCATTTTACAGATAAACAAGGTCTTACTTCTCTTGAACTGTTTTTACCGACTACACAAGGAAGTAGCCTATTTCCTTATTAGTGAAACCTTTAGGACAAGATGCTCCATGTTTGTCATTTGAGAACAGGATGCTGCTGCTCCTCTGATATAGACTAAAATAACGACTTTATTCTTTTTTACTTTAAAGACTTTAAAGAGGTCATATTATGCCCTTTTTGGGGTTCGCATATTTAATCTATGTACCTACTTTTGTACGTTCACAATAGCTAAAGTTTGAAAAAGGTGTCTGTTTTCATGTACTGCTCCTCCTTGCTCCCTCTACGCTCTGAGTCCGTCAGCTACGCTCTGCTGAGCCCCCACTGCAGAGCCCCACATGGGCCAAGTCTGCTCTGATTGGTCTGCCGATCCGCTCTGTCGTTATTGGTCAGTTGCTCAGCACGCGTCTCGGAAATTTCAACATGAGCTGCAGGGCTTGCCACAACGAGCCAATGAGCTTAGATCAGTGATCTCACACTGACAATGACGTCGGACTGACAAATTTTTATCGAGGGGGGCTAGAACCGAGCGTTACATGCAGCTAATGCTACACATGACTTTGACTTTTTGCTCATAGATGTGCCTAAACATGCACAGGACACTTGGAAAACACACGAAAGGACATATAAAACCATAAAAAGCATAATATGGGACCTTTAAGAGTTCTACTTTCATCATTTTGACGCAGGATGGTCTCGAACTCGTTAATTTACGAGATTAAACTCGTTAATTTACGAGTTTAATCTCGTAAATGTACGACTTTATTCTCGTAAATTTATGACTTTAATCTTGAAATTTAATTTAGTTTAATTAAATTTTTTTTTAACGTGGCCCTAATCCTCCGTCGTATAAATCAGCTCAGTTCTGTCAGTAATGAGTTGCAGGGTTCACACTGACAGCCTGTGGGATCACTCTCTGAATCACCCAAACCCTGGGAAAGTGTTTGTTTGGACATTCCTCCTCCTTACAAAGGCCATCACAAAGGGATTTTGTCACTCTGTTCACGGCTTTAGCACTCAAACACCCATCAGTCTGTGCACCAGACCTCGATTGGTCAAACATCGAATTTAAGAGGAAGACAGAAATCAGATTTAATTTTTGGCAATATAAAGAAATCAGACTATTGGGCTGTCAGAGGGAGCAGACATCGAGGGAGATGTTGCCCTATGGCCAGCTGTTGGTTAAAGTGGTTCTCATGATTTTACACTGACAGAAATAGCTGTGGAGGACGTAGGGCCCATGCTGTGAGCTCACATGATATATCGCAGCAACAGCCTGCATGAGCTGCACGCTCAAAGTTAGTTGTAACACCTCTTGACCTCAGCCTGTGGACACACTGCAAAGCCAAAACAGCTCCACACATCAGGAGAAACAAAGCTGAGGGGAATGTTTTCAACTGTTATATGGATTTTAGTGGCCTTTAACTTTTGCAGGACTTGTCACACAGCCATCTGTTTCTAATGATGATACTTTCAAATACAAACAAAGATTGAGGAGAATTGATTCAGAACGTCTATATTTGGCAATAGAAGAAATTTAACCCCTAATCCAAAGCCATGTGACAATGTTTTCCTTTGCCGTCCTCTCTGGGTGGGAAGCTAATTGATGTAATAATGTCAGACTGCTTTACGCTGTAAGATGTATGATGTAATTTTACTGCTTCTTGACTGATCATCAACTATAAACCAGTAATTAGTGAATGTCTTGAGGGGCACAACACATTTTTTGAAAATAATAATAATAATAGGCTACTGTTATCTTTTCACTGCTTTCTAATTGATCAGTGTCTGATAAAGAAGCAGATAGTAAAATGCAGATGGACGTTGGACTGTATTACAAGCTAAAACAACATGGAACTGAAATACTGCATACTAGTCATACTAAATATGATGTCACATTGAGTATGTAGTATAATCTGAGATCACAGTATGCAATTTTGTGTAGGCGAGAAATCGCCCAGATGTTTACTCGATAGGCCAGAATTTGTTAGCAGAGCTCATCTCTCAGCCAACTAGCAGTAAATGAAAGTAAATATACTGAAATACATTCTAAATGTTTCCAAATAATAATAAATGACTTCGAAGCTGTATTAGTAATGGACAAATGTATATCGTTGTTGAATTCTATTTAAGGAATGACGGTTGTGCTAGCATGATGCTTGCTTATTCAACATAGCTCGGACTGGAAGACGTACGACATGTGACCTGTAGTTTAGTATGTTGCTAACATACTACGATCGGGTTAGCGGCAGTTTGCAGCACACTGTTTGAGTATAGTAGGCAGTATGTAAGTATGTGGTTTCAGCTAACGTAAGCCTTCAGCCACTGCCAAGCTTACATTGCTGTTGTGTTATGCAGTATTATAGGACAGGTTGTATGCTAACTATAGAGCCAATATTCAACCTATAGTATAGCCAAAAGGACATTACATTTTAGCTAGAGGAAAATGGCCATCATGTATGAGTTTCTGGACACTGAACTTAACTGGATCAGTGGATGTTGTGTAGTTAAAAACAGACACAGTGAAGACGGACATACTGGTCTTGTGGTTCGAGGGCAGAAGGATCTGCTACGTGCAGGTGAGCGGGGGTCTGCTCTGTCTGCACACAGATCTGTCTGCCGACAGCCTCAAGGACTCTTTGGTCACTGGCATTCCTTAGCCTGGCAGTTGGAAACAAAAGGGTGTGAGCATTGACTATATTTGTTTGCATTTATAGTGTTGCAACAATAAAATATCTTTATCTTTCTCCCTGATTTGGGATTCAGTTTAGGTATAAACTGAGATTAGCAGCTGCTTGGCTTGCAGCCCTCAAACCCCCTCTAAGAGCGTAGCGTTAAAAAGATTAGTACAAGGAGGAGTAGAACCCGTTAAAACTTAAATAATACGTACTTTAAAACTAGCTGAGCACCCACAAACAAGCTGGCAGCAGCTTGGCTAGCAGCCCCTTTCAAACATCATGTGTCCACTGAAGAAGAGCACCCAAAAAACATATACTTGAAGGTCCTTTATTGAGGGTGTCTAATGGTTTAATTAATTGGTAAATGGATTTGAGCTTGTATATTTCTTTTCTAGTCTTCTGACAACTCAAAGCACTTTCACACTGCAGGTCACAGCTACACATTCACAGACTAATAGTAGAGGCTGACCATCAAAAGTAACTTATCCATTCATACACATTCATGCGCCGCCAACGAAGTGAAAGGGGCACTTCTGGGTTAAATGTCTTGCCTGAGGATACACCGGAGATTTTGCAGGAGCAGGGGATCGAGCCCCCAACCTTCCGGTTGAGAAACGACCAACTCTACCAACCGCCCCGTCACTCGTCAGTTTGTTTCCAAAAGGAGAAGAACTCTGTGGATAAGTTAGCCTTCCTCAAAAGGATTAGAAACAGTGATAATTGAATGAATCCACCACTTCAAAGCAGCCTAGTCACAGATAAGCTGCAGTTCAGCCTGCAGCCCCTCGTGTTACATCAGATAGTGGTAGAGTATTTTAATTTGGCACTGGTTCATTCTGTGTTTTTATTGGCGCTAATCACCTGGGTTGTTTGTTTTGGAGAGGAGGGGACCTATTATGGATAATTTGGCTCCAAGTAAAAACCATGCCATGAGCACAGCACCCTCATTTTGAGACGTGGTATGAAAAGTTTACGGCCTTACTTGTGTTTTTAAGCAGTTAAAAAGGAAAGTGCTGAGGGACTCACAAAATGTAAAAATGCAGAGTGATGTTTTGTATCTTTCACTTTTTACCTTTGTGTTAGTGTGCCTGAGTATGTGAACAAGAAAAACCAAGACATGTTACTCTGAACTAACTTAGTTAATGTGCCACAAAAAGCCTTATTTCTTAAAGTAGATATTGAGGCTGTAATGCTCTGAGGAATGTTTCCAACGCTTCAGAAAGGTGCTCAGAGTGAAGGACTCAGCTCAACTCTTG